TTTTAAATATCAACTATTTTATATTGATTTGTAGCTCTGATTATACTATACAACTTTACTTAGAACTAATTTACCAATTTACTATTAAAGATATTCAAATTTGAACCTGATTTAAGTTTAGTTCAAATTTGAACTTCAGGAATATTACTAATTACTGCGCCTCGAAATTAAAATTTCTCAACTTCGATTTGGTGACCCGGCCGGGATATGAAAGCTAGAAAATTTACTTTGTGTGGCCTTAACTCGGAACCAGTGGTCCAATTCAGACAAATTTATCATTCGATTTACAAATTAAATTGGTAGTTGTTTTGTTTGCATTGGAACACTAGTTCTCGAGATATCACGTAAAATACATAATTTATTTTTTATATATTCCGGAAAATAAAAAATTCCAGTTTTTTTTAATTTTAAACTCGGAACAAACCCGAAAAATAATAATTCAAATCTCGGAAAATCTCCGGATTTTTTTATTTTCCGGAGGATTCGATTTGTTTATCTTTTATAAGATACATTTATTGATTAAATCTCATACACTCCGCGAAATTGTAGGTCTTAACTGTAGTCTGTCAACTGCCGCAAATGTATTACTCTATGCCGGACTTTATTCTCGCGTTGCAGCAAAGAAACCATACATTTGCTTATATTCGTTTTAGATGGTGTGAGGAAAATCAAATAAAACAGCTTATGACTGGGCAAATATAATCTTCTCTGATAAGACAAGTGTGGAAATTGGGAAGCTATCACGACAATCAAGAGTTTGGTGACACAATGGAGAAAGATTTAATGCTACTTACTTGGTGCCTACTTATAAAGCGGAAAATCTGTAATGGCTTGGGGGGTGTTTTGCGGGAAGACACAAAGGACCACTGGTATTTTGTGATGAATACAAAAATGACGGGAGAAAATAAATTCGGATGTTTATCTTAGAATCTTAAAGCTAACGCTAATTTGTAAGTTTTCAGCAAGATAACGTGCCGATCCATAAAGCGGGGACAAATTAAAAATTATTCGCGAAAATAAAATCGTGACTATCAATTGGCCAGCGAATTCACCAGACCTAAACCCAATTGAGAATATTTTGTTGAAGGATAATGTTCAAAAGTATGAAGTCTTTCCGAGGTCCGAGGACGAACTTAAAATCGCGTTAAAGGATGATAGGAAAAACTTGACGCCTCTGTTTTTGAAGAGGTTATTTCCTCAATGCCAAGAAGAATTGAAGCCGTATTAAAGTCAAATGGAGGGCAAATAAAATATTAATTAAATATAATTTTTTATTTTATGTATAAATTGTTGAAAATAAAATAAATCGGGAAGGTGTGAAAATTTTTTTGTTTAATTTACATAGGGCGTTACTTTTAGGGGGTACTGAACATGTAAATGGAAATCTATTGATTCTCAAAGAACCTAAAATCTTCTGTGAGTGTGTACATTTAATTGACAAATTGATTATCGTTATCGATCGAACAATCGGCGACTTGTCGTGTAACATAAGTGTCTAAGAAAAAATTTAATTGAAGTAACATGGAAAAGTTATAAAACGAATAAAAAAGGTAAATTACCTGCTGTTTCGAGTTTTGAGATTGATCTACTTGTGTATACCGCGCCTTCGTGAGTTTCAGACTTCTTTTTTAATTGTCTGTTTCCTATCGTTATAAATTCTCCTTCATTCCATTCTTCAATTGCATTTCGAACCTCCTTTGTCGATGGCCGTTTCGATGGATCCGAATCCCAACAACGAATCATTAGCTCTCGATAACATTTTGGCATATCATCAGGAATTTCTGGCCGAGTTCCATCGCAAATATCAAGGATGAGTGTGTTATCGTGTCTACGGCTAACAAATGGACGTTCTCCATTCCAAATTTCCCACATAATCATTCCAATCGAATAAACATCGCTAGCTGTTGTGTATAAATGCTTTTGTAGGACTTCAGGTGCAATGTAGGGAATTACACCAAAGACTTCTTCACCAGCCTTGATTTCTGTAATTTTTTTGCATCTCCCAAAATCTGTTATATATAAAGCGGGAGTACATAAGATATTTCCAGTGTGCAAGTCACGATGAACATATCCACGTTTATGTAAAGCTTCTAATCCTTTAGTTAATTCGTTTAAATCATGCTGTAATGAAGTAAATGTAACATTATTTTCTTTTTTGATTCGATTGTGTAGTGAACCATCCTCATAAAAATAAAGGACTAGAATATAATCGTTAGTTTTGGGATCTCTGGAAATTCCAAATATTTTAGAAACAAAACCGTCGCATCGAAAAACAATCGCAGACTGCATCTACATGTATATTAGAAATTTCTAAAGTCAAAAACAAGGATTAAATAGATTTAGATGATTATGTCAATATTTACTTACTTCGTGAATAATATTAAGATTTGCATCACTTGATTGGGATATAGTCTTTAGAGCAACAGGCATTGGTTCTGCTTTTATAACCAATTTTCTTTTTTCTTCATCAAAATATCTGAATCCCGACTTCCGGACCGCTTTTGATATGCTGCCAAACCCTCCTTTAGCAACATATTTTATTTCACTAAAGTCCTCATAAGGAATCCACTCAAGCAACCCAACAACAAAATTATCATCAAATTTAAGTTGATCTTCTTTAATAAGCTCATCTATTTTATTATTCCCACTTTTCCATTGAGTGAGATCACAAGTAAGACAAAACTGATAATAGATATTCCATCTTTGGTGACACTTTGGACAGATCACCTTCTTTTCTGTGATATTTGAAAAATAATTATGTAAGTAGATAATTATGTAATAATAATTCATTAATTTATTATTACCACTTGTCCATTGTAGTCTACAATATTCACAGCATTGATTATCATTCATCCATTTCGTTCGACAATGTGGACAAAAATTCTCTTTTATTTCGTTATTTGAAGACGATATTAAACAAGCGAAGGTCAAAATTAATCGAATGAAGGTCAAAATTAAACGAGTGAAGGTCAAAAATAAACGCTTGAGAAATAACATTCTCACGTAAAATATTACTAATGGAGAAAGAATTAAATTTTACTTCGTTACGTTTATAAACCAATTTCTCAAGTCCAATTGCCCAAATGGCGCAGTTTTTATAACTCCAAATGGAGATTTGACAGCTGCACATATCGATCTCATGTCATACACCTTTTGAATCAGTAAATGAAACAGTTCAGCGTACAATGATACTTTTTAATACATTATGTAAGATGCAAGATGCAATACAGCAATTTTTGAATTTTTTAATATTTGTATACTTTGAAGTTCGTTCGTTACTCGCATATAAAATTTCAAAAATGACTGAATAATTTTATTACAAACTAATACTAACTTCGTTACAAAATAAACTACCGCACTTTTACGTTTCCATCGTTATTAAACAGAAAACATTTTATCGATCAAAAAACAATTTTACCTGCATAGTATAAATTAATAGATAAATGATGTGGATAATGTGTTTTTATTTTATTAAGTGATTCAATAATGATAACATAAACGAAAAACGCAATATGATACTCTAAATAGTCATTTTGTAGCATATGATATATGTGCGTCTATGTAGAGTCTCCAAGTTATTTTCCGCAGCCTAGATGCCTATACTAATTACGGTATTTAGCCCCCATCTCTAAACATATGATCTATATAACCTGCAACCCTTCTTTCTACGGGACCCGCTGAGTATTTTGTCTATTTCTCTTTAAAATGAATCCATGTGAACAAACACAGAATTTTAAATACTTCAACACAACAGCTCTATCGTTGGTCTTTGGATGGTGGACTAATAGCAATAGTGTATGTTTTGGACGGAGTAGTAAACAATTGATTCCGCGTTTACAATGATGATACAGATATAGCGATAGATGAGTGCAATAAACCTGACTTTTTTTGCTTTACATATGTTACCGTTATCAAATTGCCAATTTGAGATTTTGGCTGGTCTGTGTTTTTTGTGGCCTGTGCATTTTTGACCTGTGCACAATTTTTGCGGATCATACCATACATAGCGATAGAAAGCCCTTTTTATGCATTCATTTATTAATGTTAATGTTAAATCTAAAGATAACGATAATCGTTAAAATCATCATGAATTAATGCGGATAATGTTTTAATTATCACAAAAGCTGAATAGTCTATCTAATAAAAGAACGCGCGAAAATTAATTAACATATATCTGTCGAAAGGATCCCTGAAAGATTTAATAGCTTGCGAAGGATATTTACTCTTGTTCAAATGTGAATTTCACACATAATTTATAACCAAAGGGTCCGACCATTTCTGCTCAGAATCGGAACCTAATCGAAACCGAACCGAAATTTCGATTCGATTCACTTATTTTTGAAAACGATTTGGTTCGGGTTTGAGTCATGGCGATTATATATAGACATCGATATCAATTTAATACATATTACACTATTTATATTTAAACGTCTGTATCTCATAGATGACTCGTTTTTTACTAATATTCCACTTGACAACCTAAAAATTTATGTGAAATTTCAAGCGCTATTTTTAGTTTTGATATTGTAGTTAAAATTATGTACTTGTGAACTTCAAAGAACTAAAACGGTTTTTTGATTTGAAATCGGAACTAAACCGAACTTATGATTCGGTTCGGTTAGAAAATACTCAGGAGCTTGGAATCGCTTCTAGAACCGACACTTACTATGACCTGCATATTGCATATAATTACATGTACTCGATTCCGTAAATTTAGTACATATTTCAATTTAAAATTACAAAAATATATACGCTTTTAATGACAATGATTTCAAATTGAGAGGAAATGTCCGAAAATAAGAATCACGCCGTTTTTTAGAGCCATAAACCTGTAATTATAATGCTGGGGAACAAAATATCGCTTTCCGTAATTAATTACAAGCTTCTTAATTAATTACGGATTTTTTAATGATAGATATTTCTTTGCTGTTCAGACTAATTAAGCTAACATAATCCTCTTGACTTAGAGAACATGTACCTCTAGCAAATTCTCGCTCGCTGTACATTTCATCAATATATTTCCGGGTGTATACTATCATATGTCATTTTTATGATATATTTTTCGGATATCTTTTCAGTTCAGCCCCATCAGTCTGACTTTTACCTCAGCTCAGTCTTTCTAAACACCGATAATCTTTAGACCGAGTCGGATTGAACGGATCGATTAGAATCCTATCCGAAATATATGTTGTGCCTCAGATCACGCTCAGCCCAAATTAAGATAGGGGTATTACTAGAGTTAGAGGTGATTTGAGGCACAACATATCGATATATATAAAATGCAAACACTTAAAAAAATTCGTGATGACCCCCCTCCATGATCGACGTTTTAGTGCAATTATGGAACGGATTTCTTTTCGGATGATTTGACATATTATTCATAAGTTGTACGTAGTCACCGGTGAGATAGCTATATAAATACTAACATTTTTTATAGAAGCAAAATAACGATAATAACATTAAATGTGATAAACTTGCGAAAATCTAATAGAAACACATCGCGGCGAGTCATTTCTCGATAATCAGTGATCAGATTTTTGTAATTTCGTCTTATTATATTCGCCTCAATAAGACGAAAATTTTGGTAGTAGATCCATTTTAATCAGAAAATATTTATCGAGTTATTGCGAATTTAGTTTTTTTTTTTAGTTAAAATGTTCAAGTTACAAAATTTTCAGAACATTAAATTATATTCGAACTTGCATTGACACAGAAAGAGAGCACAGCAAGTACTGATATTTTAAAACATAATGTCCTACTCGGAGGTACTTTCAAATAAATATAATAAAAAAACTGGTCGTCATTACTTTCGCCGGAAACTGTAGAATAAAATCGAGCAAGCTAGTAATTAGTGAAGCGAGTGGTCAAGAAAGAAAGAGCCAAGCAAAATAATCTTATCTACGTGTGGTACTAAAGAAAAGGGAGTTATTTAGAATTAGCGTTAGTTACAATTTATCCTTATAATGAAATATACGCATATAGATATATAGACATTTTCAAGTATATATGGTACACACTATCTAAAGTCATCAAACATTTATATTTATAAAATATAAATGTTTGATGACTTTAGAAGATGTGCACCATATATCATTGAAAATGCTCTTGCTTTGAATAATAAATCCTAATAAATATTCACAAACTAAATTACCTTTTAATAATGTTTCGGGAAACTAGTTTCACCCAATTTGATCCAAATTAGGATTGCCGTTTATAGAGCGAAACTGAAGTTCACGTTTCAGATTTTGAAAAATAGTTTCATCCGAAACACCAATACAAGCCACTCTTGTTATAGTCAATGTGCCCAGGCTATAAGAGAAAATTTAAAATTCATTATATCGAGAAGATTTATTAGGGACGTGACATATATGAGCTCATTATGGATTACAGTTGAGCCTCCATATAGTTGTGAATAAAGATGGACCTTGAAATTAATAACTTAGTTTAGGTACATAATTGGACTAGTTTAGAACATAGCCAAAACTAGTTTAGGTTATAGTTTGTCCCTTCAGGATAGTAACGTACACCCTCTCTCTCTTTCATAATGAGCTCATATATATGTTAATTACTTGAATTAGAATCAAGTTATTAAAGTTTATAAACATGTTGTTTATACTTCTTATTGTGATGGAAGAACTCATAATAGCAGTCTCACACATTATTTATCTTAGCAATTGAGTACAAATCTTTAGATATTTGTTATAAATCACTTTTACTTTGGAGAGTGTTCTTTTAGCAGGTGATTCTAATGCTTATCCTCTCTCCCACTCGACGTAAAGTATTAGGGATATGTTATTTATATTATAACCTGATATTCGCTCTGACCCCCAAAAAATTAGGTGATAAAAGACACTTCCATTTTATAAAACATGTGACTTAATTGGATATTATCATATTTTGTTATATAACATATTTAAAGGATAATAACCTATAAAGATTGAAAATATCTCAGTATGTCTTAATTATAAAAACTTATGTACTCATAAACAAATCTGAAAAAATGTAAATTATAATTAAAATTGAAAATTTTTGTTCTAATAAATCCAGTTTGTTAAAACAAATAGAAGAACATATTTCAATAAAAATTTTAAATGTGAAACAGAAGAGCATCAATTATAATGCAATTAATTGCCACGGTTACTAAATATAGTTATTTTTAAAATAATTTTTTAGATGTGATGCTTATTTAAGAATATCTGTATTATTAATTTAATATTACTTATTCATTACCAATTATTTGCGCATAAAACCGATAATAATCATTCGTTGTTTGATATTGTTCAAACTCTTCGTGTATGCTGTTGAGTAACTGGTCGTATTCGTGAGGCGTGATCTCGTAAATTCCATAATTAGTTTTTTCAAAGAATGGAACATATCCATAAACCATTTGTAGCCTGAATAAATAAGTTAACATGTAATTTATTAATCAATCAATTCAAAATTGAATGAATTAATGAATGCTAACAAAATAACTTTTAATTCACCGATTATATTTGATTACTCGTTTTTCGAGTTTTATATTTACAAATTTTTCTGAATTCTTTAATAATCCTGGAATTTCAACGAACATCCATGGATTTATGCCTCGTGCATTTACTAACGATAAGACTGTTAAAAATAAAGCATTACATTCACTGGTAATAAAATTAATAAAACTTAAACGTCTTATATATCAATCTAAAAGACTTACAAGCTTGCAGCAATTTTTTTGTATTTCTCCTTGATTTTTTAAAGATGCGTCATACTCCATCCGCTCAAGCCATGCGCCAGGTTTCATAACGCGAGCAACTTCTGGAATGATTATTGATTCCCATTGTCGTAATGTGAAACAACCATTCAAAAAATGCATGACCACGAAATCGAACTCGTTGCTTTCAATTAGTAAACGATTGGCTTGTATGAATTCAATATCTTCCGGCAGGTCTCTTAAGAGATAATCTGGGGAAATATTAATACCTATGAATAAGCATGATGGATATGTTTTGGCCATTTCGAGTATCCATGTTCCTGAACCACAGCTAAATGATTATTTATGAATTAGATGTCATTATTATTACAAGACAAAAGACTTGATAGATGTTTATCCAACGTCCAGTACTTTTGGCGCAGAGAAATTTCCTTTCCATGCAAGTCTTGCCATGATTTATTTTTTTTCGTTTCGTATCGTTCCCCTTTCATCAACTGGGATACACAAGGCGTATCTAGATAAAATTTTCGACCACCTACGTAACGAAACCTCGAATTCGTTAAACTTGGCGGATATTCATCCGTAATTGTACAGGAAGTTTCTTTGGAAAAATGTTTGGAGCCTCGTGGGTTTGATTTTTTTGATTATCGGTTTCCCATTTTTGAATGTATATAAATAAATAAATGTCCGTTTTGAATATCAACGAGAAATACAGTCGTGACCAAAAGTATCCGACCCTCCCCCCTTAACTTTCCGTAAATCATGTGTAATGTACCAAATTTTTCCGAGCACAAAGAACATTACTAGGGCTGTTAAAAAGCTTATGTGAGTCGGTCTTTGAGTCGGTTTTTGCTGAGTTGCTTTTGAGTCTGAGTTTAGGC